AAAAAGTCATTTTTGGGGTATATTTTCTGCATTTACTTAAAATCTGTTAAGGCTAGATCAACAAAATTTTGCACACAAGTCCTTTATAAGGATTCCTATCAATGAATTATGATAAATTGCATGTAAAGAAAATAACATTTCTTAAAATCATGTATAACAATGTAGTATTGCGCCCTATATTGTGTTTCACCCATAAGTTTACTAGGTCATTTATAAACAATTAACCAGAAAGTACAGTTTAGAATTTATTGGGTCTTTACGACCTCAAACATCAATACACTACATATAAATACAAAGCTGTAATATAACATTCTAAACATTCACCGACATTACTATATTTAACAATTTGGCGTCTCGGGGGCTACTCATTCCTTCTTTAACAACTCTTAACACTAGTGAAATAAAAGTCTAAATTGAATCTAATATTGACTTGTCAGTAATAGTAAGGTGAAAACCTGCCTGAGGCTAACACACAATGATGGCGCTCTGGGCTGATCCCAGGAGTGTAAGTATCCCAACCATGCCCTGGGCTGATCCCAGCAGGCATCAAAGAAACATCAAACCATGCCCGGGGCTGATCCCAGCAGGCATTTGAGAGCGAGAAAACCACGCCCGGGGCTGATCCCAGCAGGCATCTACGACCGAGAAAAACCATGCCCGGGGCTGATCCCAGCAGGCATCTGAGAGCGAGAAACCCATGCCCGGGGCTGATCCCAGCAGGCATCTAAGACCGAGAAAAACCATGCCCGGGGCTGATCCCAGCAGGCATCTGAGAGCGAGAAAACCATGCCCGGGGCTGATCCCAGCAGGCCAGTGGAAACTAAATACTAGTCTAAATCTATAACAATTCAACAACTACCTATATATATGAATTAAAAATGCATGAAAAAAGGTGTAATATATATCATACTAATGAACAAAAAACAAACATAGACTTGGGGGTAAAATTCCCCAGGAATAGACAAGATGAGTAGCCCCGTAGAGAACCAGGGACGTTGAAGGGGATGGAGGGTGGGTAGCTGCAACACAGAGCGTCTAGATGCGAATGGAACAATACAGACTCCCCCTCTAGGCATCAATGCCCCTGGTTACTCTATTCTCATTGGTCAATATCATCTCCCCTGTCTGACCAAAATTCTATAATTAGATATGCTACCCCACAACAGAATTATGCAACAGGAAATGGCGCAGTGAAGTAAAGACCATTTTGATGTATTTGGATGACGGGTTTGGTTGTCATTGTGAGTAGGAAAAAGTTTGTGAAATGTCCAGACAAGTTCATGCAGATACTGTTTCATCAGGATTTGTACCTAAGGCGGAAAAATCTATGTGGGTACCTTGTCAAATAATAGAATTTTTAGGAATATGTCTGAATTGTGAACAGGGCACTATTCACGTCCCTACACGTAGATTAGAAAAAGTTTCAGATACTATTCTAAAAATTGAATACTTTTTGAGTAAAAATTTACCAGTAAAGGTAAGACGTATAGCTAGTCTTGTTGGTCAGATAATTTCAATGTCTATTGTTATTGGTAATATTTCTCAGCTTATGACAAGATCTCTTAGCATTGATATTTTATCTGCAACATCTTGGAACAGTATGATATACTTGTCTGAAGAGAGTTTAAATCAAGTTTTATTTTGGAAGAATACATTAGAAAAAATCAATGACAGAGAAATGAAGTATATTTCAGGTTCTAACCGCATAGTATATACTGACGCCAGTGAGACGGGTTATGGTGGATATTGTGTGCAGACAGGACACGCTGTTTCTCATGGTTTATGGGAAGAAAGTGAGAGGAATAATAGTTCCACATGGAGGGAATTAGTAGCTGTAGAGAGAGTTTTGTTTTCATTGATATCCTTTTTAGAGGGAGAGAATGTTAAATGGTTTACAGACAATACAAATGTTGTAACTATTATAAGAAAGGGGAGTATGAAAAAAGAGTTACAGAAAATAGCAATAAAGATTTTTGAATTATGTTTAATACATAAGATTCACTTAGAAATAGAATGGATTCCCCGAGAGTTGAATGATCAAGCAGATTATTTAAGTCGTATTGTAGATTTTGATGATTGGGGAATAAGCCAAGTTTTATTGGAAGACATTTCTCGAGAATGGGGTCCTTACGACGTAGATTTGTTTGCTTCTGATTATAATGCAAAAGTTGAAGAATTTTGTTCCAGATATTGGAATCCATTTTCATTTGCAGTGGATGCCTTTACGTTAAACTGGACAGGTTGGAATGCTTGGATAGTTCCTCTTATATATTTAATACCTAGAGTGTTAGAGTATTTATTTAAATGTAGGGGATGTGGTATGTTGATAGCTCCTTTTTGGGAATCATCGGCTTTTTGGCCTATTTTAATTTCAGATGTTTTCAAAGCACATATTGTATTATTGTAGATTGGAGAGACCTTCTTGTTGAGAAAGAGTTTTACACATCTGGGTAATTGAAGTCTGGCATTTTTGGCCAAGAAGATTTGAAATTTAGAATGCTTGCAATTTTGTTGGATTTTGGAGAAAATATTTGATTTTCATTTACAGAAATATTTCATGTATTTAGATTGCAAATATTTGCATGGTCCACTTGGCTATTTAGCATAAAAGTTGGCATCAATTTGAATTTGAAATTTTTGTGAGTTTACAGTAAGCATTTATTTTATTTAGATTGCTTTTAATTAATTGCGTATTTTATGCGCAAAGTTTTTGGATTTGAAATTTTAAATTAAATTTGAAGTTGATCGATTGTTTGATCTTTTGCACTTTGTGTGTGCAAGCCATTTGGCTTTGATTTTATTATCAATTTTTGGAAATTGATATAGATGTCGTTTTGACATGATTTCAGATTATCGAAATATAATTTTGTAGATTAAATTATGAATAATACCTTTTTTGGTAATTGAATTCCCATTTTGGGTTCATATTAGTATAATCATAAATATTGATATAAAGTTAGATTGAAAATGTAAAAATTGTGGAAAAGAGAGGATGTAAAAAGAGATAGTATTTAAGGGGGCCGACTATAGTTTCCACTGCGCAATATTTCGCGCATCATAGGAAAATGAAGCCTATTTACTGTTTTAATGCAATTTTTTCGCTTTATTATTAAAATTAAACAAAATTAAGAAATTATAGGTATAAAAATGTAATATTATTACAATTTGATATAACTGGTTATTTAACCAATTTTGCAATTGATAGGAAGTTGACGTCGCTGCAGTGTCTTTTTGACGTTTAATCTGTAGCTCTTACAGAAAGGGTTAATAAAAATATTATTAAAGACAAGAGATGTTTGTAAAACACTTATGCCCCCCTCCCCCCAAATTGGAATTTTTCCAATTCCAAGGGGCAAAACTCTGTCAAAAATGACACGATTGTACCCATAAAAGAATTTGACCTAGATATTCATCTGATAAATCTGTATACTACATTTCATCTCAGCATGTGCACAGTTGTGAAGAAAATGAACGGAAACTGCAAATAATTGGAATTTTTCTAAGTCCAAGGGGTATAACTCTGTCAAAAATGGTGCAATCATGCCTAAACCAGAACATGACCTAGATTTTAATGTGATATATCTGTATAAAAAAATTCATTTCAATATGTACAACGGTTGCAAAGAAAATGAACGGAAACTGCAAACAATTGGAACTTTTCTAAGTCCAAGGGGCATAACTCTGTGAAAACTGGTGCGATCGTACCCAAAACAGAACTTGACCCAGATATTCATGTGATATATCTGCATACAAAATTTCATCTAAGTATGTGCAACGGTTGTTAAGAAAATGAACGGAAACTGCAAATAATTGAAATTTTTCTAAGTCCAAGGGGTATAACTCTGTGAAAACTGGTGCGATCATACCCGAAACAGAACTTGACCTAGATATTCATCTGAAAAATCTGTATACTAAATTTCATCTCAGCATGTGCAACGGTTGCAAAGAAAATGAACGGAAACTGCAAACAATTGGAACTTTTCTAAGTCCAAGGGGCATAACTCTGTCAAAAATGGCGCGATCGTAACCAAAACAGAACTTGACCTAGATATTCATGTGATATATCTGCATACTAAATTTCATCTAAGTATGTGCAACGGTTGTAAAGAAAATGAACGGACACTGCAAATAATGAAATTTTTCTAAGTCCAAGGGGCATAACTCTGTCAAAAATGGTGCGATTGTACCCAAAACAGAACTTGGCCCAGATATTCATGTGATATATCTGTATACCAAATTTCATTTCAGTATGTGCAACGGTTGCGAAGAAAATGAACGGAAACTAAGTGGACCGACAGACCGACGGACCGACAGACCGACAGACCGACCAACAGAAGGGGGGCATAAAAAAGTAATAGACATACGCTCTTGAAATTTAAAACATAGAATTTTTAGAATATCTCCAATATTTTTATAATGTTTTTTGTGAATCCATTGTTTACGTCATATTTTGTAGTACTCTATAAAAATAGTAAAATTTGCTAATTTTTTGCATTTTGAGATGCCCCCTCTGTTAACAAGACGGTAGAATTTTGTGTTTCTTACATATATTGTAAAATATAGTATTACTCATGAAATGTTATAGTTTGAACAAAATGTCTATTGTAGTATTTGTATAATTTGCTTTAAAGTGCTAAAAATTGGCATTTTCCTATATAATCCTATAGTAAATGTACCTGTATTTTGAGACGGTCCCTCAAAAGTACCTGGATGGTAGATTTCCCCCAAACTTTGCATGTACACTGAAGTTAATGTAAGTTATATATGGTATAAAAATGAAGAGTTTCGCTATTGTAGTTTTTAATGTGTTATGTTATTTATCATTATTACTGATTTGGTATCAGGAATGAATGGGTTTTAAAGGAGAATATATAGATGGAAATACAGGACTGGGATATTTCTTCGAATGATAGAAACTTCAAGAGATCAGAAAATGAGCCAGCAAGAGTCACCTGTATCTGTGAAGTGTATTATTTCAATAAAAGTAAGAATCACTATACCAATATCAAGGATTCTTTCCCCTGGTCGTGTGTTCTGCCAGCTATCTATCTGTTCCTTTTCCATGTACTGAAGGCGGCGCTCATGGAAACAAATTTTTACAATGCTCTGAAATAAACAACATAAGGTCCATGAGCCTTGATATAGTCATCTTCTTTGACTTTTTACTTCTTTTGTTACATTTTAATTATATATTATAGGCATGAAGCTTCAGCCCCCTCCCTTTGTTTTCCTAAAAGAACTTTTTACTATTGAAAATGTTCACTGAAATCCCAGTCCCCCCATTTTACTGTAAATCACTTTTTATTCGCAAGAACTTTATTTTCGCGTTATTACGCGAGACAGTATGCTCGTGAAAATTTCATTCTCACGTTTAATAGAAATCCTTAAGATTATATAGAGCAATGAACACAATTCGTGAAAATTTTGTCTCGCTAATAAAGAGTCAATTACTATCTCACGAAAATAAGGTGTCGCGAAAATTAAGTGATCTACAGTATTTCATTAAAGTCTAATAAGGATAATGTAATAGTGTATGATTAATATGACCAAATTGGTACTGAAAGAAGTTGGAATATCCCATGGGCTACAAAGCTCACTTACGTGACGTCTATAGTATACACTTATCCACTGGTTGTGAGTGGGATAGCTCTTTTATCAAACCCGCGACAGGGAACTATTCCCCGAGGGCTTGCCCGAGGGGAATAGTTTCTGTCAAGGGTTTGATGAAAGAGCTATCCCACTCACAACCAGTGGATAAATGTTTTATTATACTGATGTATAATTACAATTTTTGAGGTTTGTGAATTTTTACTACAAGAAAAATCTGACATCATGATGCATCACAATGCTACTAAAGTCATTATGACATCATCAGTAAATAGATTTATCACTGGAAATCAAAATTGGTAGGAAAAATTGCATAAAAATTTTCCTAGGGTGGATAGCAAAAACTATACCCCGGGGTATAGCTTTGCTATGCGTGGACTATCAAAGATAGCTATTTTACCTTCTTAACTTTATATAGGGAACATTTTAACAGAAGTATAATAATTGTTCTTGTTCTTCATCAGATAGTTATTGTTCATCAGTAGATTTTTTTCCTTATATTTTTCTATCTTAACTTCGATCACCTTTTGTAGTCCTACCTAGAGCTGAAATGGATGTTCGAACATTCGCGAATGAAGTTTTTCACGAATATTCCAATGGAAAATTTGTATTCGAATATTCGGTCACATGTTTAGACCCTAGTCGTGGATAAAGCGACAACCCAGATAACACCATTGCATAGCCTATCATTGATAAAGTTAGAGCTGCCATGTTTTCCATTCTGCGCCGGTGTAATGTTGAATATTGACCCCAGTTGAAAATTGAACCGGGGTTCATTTTTCAACGTTGAATACTGAACCAGAGGTGTTTTTTTCTCTGTTGAAAATTGAGACCAAAAGTCGTCGAATTTATACCCGGAGTCATTTTTCAACAGCTTCATCATTTTTTCTTATCCCTGATGACCTCAACAAGTTGAAAATTGACGCTGTTGAATATTGACTCCACCTCAGAGTTTTGAACATTCTTTGAACTGGGAAGTTGTTTTACAGGATTTATCAATATATATTTACATTTCCAATAAATTTCCCCTATGATTCTTTACACCAGAAGTCTCTGTCGAGACTGTAGCTCTACTGGTTTGTACTTATGACAAAGGATGAGAAAAGAAGCCATTGCCATCAGGAATTTCACAGACATTTCTATTTTTAGTAAAAATAGCAAAACTGTTCATCGAAATCAAAAACTGATGCGCTATTTTATGTATCTTAGTGTAGTCTTCTTGTGTGCCAAGTAATACTGAAATCAGACCATAACTGTAGGAGGAGTAGCGTTTTAAAGGAATTTCACAGAAAATTCTATTTTTAGTAACCATGGCAACACCTTTCATCAAAATCAAAAACCGATGGACTATTTTATGTATTTTAGTGTAGTCTGCTTATGTGCCAAGTTATATTGAAATCAGACCAAAAGTGTAGGAGGAGTAGCGTTTTCAAGGAATTTCACAGAAAATTCTATTTTTAGTAACCATTGCAACATCTTTCATCGAAATCAAAAACCGATGCACTATTTTATGTATCTTAGTGTAGTCTACTTGTGTGCCAAGTTATATTGAAATCAAATGAAAACTGTAGGAGGAGTAGCACTTTAAAGGAATTTCAAAGAAAATTCTATTTCTAGTAACTATGGCAACACCTTTCATCGAAATCAAAAACCGATGCACTACTTTATGTATCTTAGTGTAGTCTAATTGTGTGCCAAGTTATATTGAAATCAGATGAAAACTGTAGGAGGAGTAGCATTTTAAAGGAATTTCACAGAGAATTCTATTATTAGTAACCACGGCAACACCGTTCATCGAAATCAAAAACCGATGCACTATTTTATGTATCTTAGTGTAGTCTACTTGTGTGCCAAGTTATATTAAAATCAGACCAAAACTGTAGGAGGAGTAGCGTTTTGAAAAATTGTTTACAGACAGACGGACAGACAGACAGACAGACGGACGGACGACGGACACCTTACTATCGCATAAGCTCTTCTGGTCTCTGACCAGTAGAGCTAAAAAAACGTAGGTAATCAAAGAATATGAAGCTCACCTCGACGAATGTTATCAGTGTAAGTAATGCAAATCTCATGTCATATTTTCTTAATATCTAGTATTTATCCCAACAAAAATATTCTTGCAAGTTGTGTTTAACCCCTTACAGGGCATATACACATTTCTACGCATATAGCGTGAAAAACATGTATAGTGTAAACAAATATTAATTTGTTAATACTGCACATATCAAGGACATCAAGTTCATTGGGATTAATTTGTTCCCAAAACTTTCACATGGTCTCTCGTATGGAAAATATAGATCAGGTAGTGTCCATCCCTAGATGCATCATCCATGCAAGTTTGGTCCAGGTAGGCTTATAGTTACTCAAGGAATGGACCTGCTTCAAAAACTTTAACCTGGTCACTCATCTTGGGAATGGACCTGCTCCAAAAACTTTAACCTAGTCACTAATCTTGAAAATGTAAGTCGGATCCAGCATCTGAAGCAAGTCTGGTAGTGTCCATCCCTAGATGCATCATCCATGCAAGTTTGGTCCAGGTAGGGCTTATAGTTACTTGGGAATGGACCTGCTCCAAAAACTTTAACCTGGTCACTCATCTAGAAAATGTAGGTCACATCCAGCATCCGAAGCAAGTCTGGTAGTGTACATCCCTAGATGCATCATCGTCGAGGTGAGCTGAAAATGCTGTTCATTTTCTCATGAACTACATTAGGTATGTACCATGAATAAGTATGAGTATCTCCATTGTTGCGTCATAATACTGTTCTTGACGTCAAAAAATATAGTGCATACTGTTCTGTTTTAGAAATGACAGTTGAATGGCGTAAATTTAAGGCAAGTCATCAGAAAAATAATGTGAATATAAGAAATGAATTTAATTTTTTGAAGATTCATGAGGTATATGAACTACAATGCTTCACACCGGCTTATTGATCATGAAGTGCTAACACGCTTCATGAAATATGCCGGCGTGACCCCTGCGAGGTGAAATTCATAATTTCAGGAACTTTTATGAATCGTTCATGAACATTCATGATGTGTTCATGACTGGTTCATAAAGATGGTTCATGAACTTTATTCATGAATATATTCATAAAATGTAGTTCATGAGCAAATGATGAATATATATGAATATTGGTAATTTTCATTTTAAAGACAGAAAAAATGTAGAGTTCAAGGTATTATGAATGTTCATGAATTTTCATGAAGACTAAAATAATTGACAAAAATGATTGACAGAAAACACTCAATACTCTCATAATACAACTTTTGCATGCAGATGCAATTGTTGAACAAGCCCCTGGTATAATTTATAGTTAATAACATTCTTTCACCATCTGAAAAAATAAATCATGAAATCATTTCGTGCTTTTATTTGATTTTAATTAAACAAACAGTGCATCACCATTGACAGCATTTTTTTTTTCAAATTCATTACTTGCGTTTCTTCATAATTTAAATTAAACAGTTATATTCATCATAATGTGCTTTAATTAATGTCGTTTTTCATCACACAACTTTGTTCGACCGAATTTTCTCTAACATCAAACTTTAAACAAGTTGTTGGAAAATGAAACATTCTGGAAAATGAACTTTGTGAGCTTCGTAAAAAACGTTTTATATATTTATCAACAACTAAAAAATTATATCACTTGTCTGTACTGTACCATATTATTCCTGGATCGAAACGCTATATATATACATTTCAATTTTGGTGCAGTTAAAATGTCAAAAGTTTCCATTGCTTCGTGCGTAAATGATAGAGCACAGACTGTATGGTTGTAAAGTATCTATGACATAATCCACATTCGTATTTTGTAGTTTTTAGCTCACCTGAGCCGAAGGCTCAAGTGAGCTTTTCTGATCACAATTTGTCCGGCGTCCGTCTGTCTGTCTGTCTGTCTGTTTGTAAACTTTTCACATTTTCGACTTCTTCTCAAGAACCGCTGGGCCAATTTCAACCAAACTTGCAACAAAGTATCCTTGGGTAAAGGGGATTCAAGTTTGTTCAAATGAAGGGCCACGCCCTCATCCAAGGGAAGATAATTGGGAATTAATGAAAATTTGGTGGCATGTTTTAAAAATCTTCTTCTCAAGAACCACTGTGCCAGGAAAGATGAAACTTATGGGGAAACATCCTCAGGTAGTGTAGATTTAAGTTTGTTCAAATCATGACCCCCGGGGGTATATTTATATGGGCGGGGCCAAAATGGCCGACCAAAGTTTTACATAGAAATATATAGGAAAATTCTTTAAACATCTTCTTCTCAAGAAGATCAAAGCTATAATTGATCATATTTATATGGAAGCATCCTCAGTTAGTGTAGATTCAAGTTTGTTCAAATCATGACCCCTGGGGTAGGCGAGGCCAAAATGGCCGACCAACGTTTTACATAGAAATATATAGGAAAATTCTTTAAAAATCTTCTTCTCAAGAATAGCAAAGCCATAATTGATCATATTTATTTGGAAGCATCCTCAGGTAGTGTAGATTCAAGTTTGTTCAAATCATGACCCCCAGGGGAAGGGCGGGGCCAAAATAGCCGACCAAAGTTTTACATAGAAATATATAGGAAAATTCTTTAAAAATCTTCTTCTCAAGAATAGCAAAGCCATAATTGATCATATTTATATGGAAGCATCCTCAGGTAGTGTAGATTCAAGTTTGTTCAAATCATGACCCCCAAGGGGTAGGGCGGGGTCAAAATGGCCAACTAAAGTTTTACATAGAAATATATAGGAAAATTCTTTAAAAATCTTCTTCTCAAGAATGGCAAAGCCATAACTGATCATATTTATATGGAACCTTCCTCAGGTAGTGTAGATTCAAGTTTGTTCAAATCATGACCCCCACAGGTAGGGCGGGGCCAAAATGGCCGACCAAAGTTTTACATAGAAATGTATAGGAAAATTCTTTAAAAATCTTCTCAAGAATAACAAAGCCATAATTGATCATATTTACATGGAAGCATCCTCAAGTTGTGTAGATTTAAGATTTGTTCAAATCATGACCCCCAGGGGTAGGGCGGGTTCAAAATGGCCGACCAAAGTTTTACATAGAAATATATAGGAAACTTCTTTAAACATCTTCTTCTCAAGAATAGCAAAGCCATAATTGATCATATTTATATGGAAGCATCCTCAGGTAGTGTAGATTCAAGTTTGTTCAAATCATGGCCCCCAGGGGTAGGGCGGGGCCAAAATGGCCGACCAAAGTTTTACATAGAAATGTATAGGAAAATTCTTTAAAAATCTTTTTCTCAAGAATAGCAAAGCTATGATTGGTCTTGGGACTACTTTTGGATTTAAGCTTTTCAAGTTTAAACCAATTCTCCTTTTTCCTAGCCACAGTGCTCAGGTGAGCGATGTGGCCCATGGGCCTCTTGTAATTCTCCTATGCGTCTTCACAGCTCAGAATATTCTGTCTGAGGGCGAGAAATTGTTATTATCATGTCATAGGGGGCCGCCATACTTGCTATACGAAACTAAAAGTCAATACATGTATAATTTATGACGTAAAAAAATCGAATTCTTCATTGATAAAACTTATTTTGATATAAAAAAAATTTTATTTTCAGTGAAAAATTATTCAGATAGTGTTTGTAATTTTTTTAAACAGAAATCTTGGAAATTCGAAACTAACGTATTTCTTAGCTCTACCGTACATTTTTGAATAGGGGCGAACTTGAAAACGTGCGAGACGTTGGAAGTGGGAATTTGTAGAGTGGAAGAATCAGTATTTGTGATCGATTATTTGCATAATCACTGTGCCGTTTTCGTATTGCATAATTTTATTTTGATCGGGTTCAATATTCTGTTTATACTAATTATGGTAGCCATGCGGTTTGCCTGGCGTTTTGGCTGTTAAGTTTGGTGATGTTGGCCTCCCTAAGGAGTAAGTTTTATATTGTTTTACTTGAATTTATATCTAACTTGATCATCTGTATCTAACAGTATTATGCAATATATTTTATCATGTTTAAATTCTGCAACTACAATGTTTTGTAAAACCGCGCATTTCCAGCATGCGATAGGCATAGGCCAGTTCAGCTCACATGTTAAAGTTACGCATTTAATTTTGTATGATTGCTTATGATTTTGATATTTTGTCAAATTCTTATTATGCTTTTGTAATTTGTAGTTTTTCACCCTCTCACAAGGTGTGTCCAATAAACAGTACAGTCACTGATCTTTTTAAGAAAATAACAGAATATGAAGGAAGACTATTATATATATATATATAGGATCGATCTACTTCATAACTGGTGAGTGACAAAAAATGGAGGCACTCACTGAGTCAGAAATCTGTCTGTAAATGTTACTGTCTATTTGTAAAATAACAACTAATTAACATGATTAAAGCACATTATGATAAATTAATATGTCTCTTTTTTTAATGCAATTTTTGTCTTTGCTTTGAGTCTGGATCCAACCATATAACACATTAATTATAGACTGAGACTCAAAACATTCATAGGCCTGATTGATCTACAAAATGGCGGTCCAAGAAAATAGGCTTAAATTCCACTCAGAATGCTTTAATTTGGAAGTGTCTCTGATGCAAAATTAAATGAAACTAAAATGCAAGAAAATACAAAAAAGTCTTATGTTTTTCAGTTTTTCTCCTCGACTGGAATTAAAAACTGTTCAATTTCTGGCATTAAAACACAATTTAAAACATGCTGAGGATTAGGATCCCCCTCTCCTTTTGACCAAGTAAGGTTAAACATTCTGCAAAGAGTTGCATTTGAATTGAAATTTTTTATACTTTTACCAGGAATGAACTACATTTCTCATTTACTATGGTTTAATGTGTCAGAATTGTCTATTTTAATTTTTTTAACAAAGATTTTGTTGCCATGGTTGGAAAACAAACAACATTTCTGTGACATCTTTCAAGATGCTGTATTATAAATCATCTACTGTTACTTTTTTAGCATGACTTCATGCATTTTCATGAATAAACATGAATAATAATATTGCATTTTTTGTTTACAAATAAGCAAGAATATTCATGAATGCTAATGGCTCATGAATTTTATTCATTCATGAACATTCCTGAAAAAATTCATCAAATTATTCATGAATAGTTCATGAAGATGCAATGAACTTATTATTGGACATTCTTGAAATGATGAATCTTCATGAATATGACTCTTCATGAATTATTCATGAAAAAAAAATATTCATGAATATTCATCAATTTTCTTTCATGAATAAAAATTCATGATTTGAAAATGTCCAATAATAAGTTCATAGGATCTTCATGAACATTTCATGAACATTTCATGAATAGAATTCATGAAAAATTCAAGGAAATTCATGAATTATTCATGATCGTCTCGCAGGGGGAAGCGCCATAGTTCATAACCTCATGAATCTTCAAAAATCAAATTCATTTCTAAATCTACAATGTATATTTATATTTCGTTTTCAATTTTTCCCTTTTCAAGAATAATAGAAATAAACCTATTAACCCATGTATATATGTACATTTTGATCAGTATACAATTTCAGTTATCTTCAAGCATGACAACTTTACTTTTTGATAATACTTTCTAAAATCCTTAGCATCTACAAATGACTACAAAACTATGAACAAAAATCCTGGAAATCTGGTGTCTAGAAAGTGAGCCCTATATACAGGTGACTCTCGATCTCTCGAAGTTCAAGGGATCGCAAGAAAAGTTCGAGAAATTGAGGGGTTCAAGAGATAGAAAGTAAATAAAATCTGGAATTTTCTGTTCTGATCATCGAAGTTCTACTTTTATAGATACCGGAAGTATATGTAAATAAAGTCAATCATATTTTAAATAAAGTTCAATCGTATTTTACGGGTAATTTACTTGATATCAACAACAATGATCGTATTTCGAAAAAATAAAATGAATTCCTATAGTTTCAATATTTATTTATTCTTCTTTCATGATTACATGAAACCTGTAAACCTTGGTTTTGTTTTCCTGATTATCTCCCCTTGTTTAAGGGTCCCAACCCTTATTTTAGTATAAATGGTAGCCCTTGGGCCAAGGATACCCTGTGACAAATTTGACACTGATTGGCCAAGGGTTTCTTGAGTTATGGCCCATATTCTAAAAAGTTAACGCACACCGCACACCGCACAAATGGCCATAGCATTAGCTCTTTGAGCCTTTGGCTCAGAAGAGCTAACAACTTAAAGGTGATAAATTCTCGAACAGAAATAACATTTTCTTGCACAAGAATAACAACTAATCGAATAGGAATAATATTTCATAGAACAAAAATGACTTAAGAAAAAGAAAAAAAAATAATAAAAAAAACAAAATAACAAGAGGCCCATGGGCCACATCGCTCACCTGAGCACTGCGGCTAGGAACAAGTAGAAATTGGTTAATTATTGAATACAGGTGACTCTCGGTCTCTCGAAGTTCAAGGGACCACAAGAAAAGTTCGAGAGATCGAAGGGTTCGAGATATAGAAAGTAAATAAAATCCGGAATTTTCAGTTCCGATCATCGACCTTCTACTATTATAGATACCAGAAGTTTAAGTAGATAAAGTCATTGCACATTTTCAATCGTATCTTTCAGGTAATTTACTTGATATCACCAACAATGATCGTTTTTTGAATAAATAAAACGAATTCTTAAAGCTTCAGTATTTATTTGTTCTATTTTCATGATTACATGAAACCCGAATAGCAATTGTTGGTTTGCCTATTCCGCGGCTTGATCGGGTCCTTCATCCGTGTTCACCAGATTTTTCTTAATCGGTATTCAGTCCTCGAGGAAGGATTATCCTGTGCAATATTTGCCGTACTGGGCTTATGTAGCCTCTAATAAAAGTTCATAGTCTATGGGAACTTTCTGAAACGAACGTCTATAAATCATTTTCTAAAATTTATGGTCTCGGTTTCATGTCAAAATAAGTTGTGAATTTGTTTGCAATTTACCAATGATAACCAATTAATTATATAAACACTCGAACGACCCACAGGTGTAGTGTCATCTGTGTAAACACCCAATTAACACCTCCATGCCAGCCAAAGCCGTTCAATGTTTTCCAGGTAAGTCCAGGCTGTATTAATTTGGCGTCTATACACACGCAATCAAAACTTCGAGAGATAGAGAGTAAAATTCAATGAAATATGTGTAATGGGACCCACGTTTTGGTTCGAGAGATAGAGAACTTCGAGAGATAGAAGTTCGAGAGATCAGGAGTAAATTTGCTTAGTTATATAGAGGGAAAAAACGGGACCGGAGGTTCACTTCGAGAGATTGAGAACTTCGAGAGATCGGAGTTCGAGCAATCGAGAGTCACCTGTAATTTAAATCCAAAAGTGGTCCCATGACTAATCATGGCTTTGCTACTGTATACAGAGAAAATTTCGCCCCCATTTATTTTCGCCCCTTTCGCCCTTACCTCATTAGGGCGAATTTAAAACGGGGCGAATTCAAAAAATTCAGTATAATTTTTTAAACAAAACTACGATTGGGCGAATAAAAAACGGGGCAGATTTGTTTTACAGTGTGAAAGGGTGAAAATAACACGGGGCGAAAATAACCCTGTATACAGTATTCTTGATAAGATGAAATTTCCTATATATTTCTATGCAAAACTTTGGTCGGCCATTGTGGCCCTGCCCTACCCCCAGGGGTCATGATGTGAAAAAACTTGAATCTACACTACCTGAAGATGCTTCCATATAAATATGATCAATTATGGCTTTGTTATTCTTGAAAAGAAGATTTTTACAGAATTTTCCTATATATTTCTATGTAAAACTTTGGTCGGCCATTGTGGCCCCGCCCTACCCCCAGGGGTCATGATTTGAACAAATTTGAATCTACACCACCTGAAGATGCTTCCTTGTAAATATGATCAATTATGGCTTTGTTATTCTTGAGAAGAAAATTTTTACAGAATTTTCCTATATATTTCTAATATGCAAAACTTTGGTAGGCCATTGTGGCCCCGCCCTACCCCCAGGGGTCATGATTTGAACAAACTTGAATCTACACCACCTGAGGATGCTTCCATATAAATATGACCAATTATGGCTTTGTTATTCTTGAGAAGAAGCTTCCTTTTAATATCAACTTCTAGGTAGAATCAGGGTGATTTTTAAGAAAGTGAATTTTTGTTGATGAACTATCACAAGATACGAAAATTTCCGAGTTCCATTTTTATTGAGAAAGCAGTTTATGATGTAAAAATATACAGTTTTGAATTTTCATGAGGAATGCTTTTTTAGAGTGTACAAAAGTTGTACGTTTTGATGTTACTGACTTTTGAAAAAAAAATGGTAAATTCAAATTTTCTAAAGGGGGGAGGGGATAAGCATCTCTAGCACCCCTCTTTCCCGATGCCTATGGGTTAAATCACACTTATGAAAAACTAGTCATAACTAGAACTGTCCAAACAGGACAAAATAATCCCCGCTGTTTTTTTCAGAAGTGCTAAATCATGAATATTTTATGGATCTAAGAGAAAAGAGGAATGCTAAAAACATTTTTAGTGCAAATGTAATTGCTCATTATATTTTTTATAAATGAAACGAAGGCGAAGCCTAAAAAAAAAATACACTAAATATATGGACCAGACATGAATTATGAAAGTTTTCTGTCAGTGACCTTGAACTTGCATAAATGACCTTATTTCAAAGTCATGGCACAACCTCAGGTCATAAGCAATGTTTGTGTGAAGTAGTAGATTCAAGTTTTTCCATAATTAAGAAAGATATGGACCAGAGACACCAGACACAAATTATAAAATTTTTCTTCCAGTGACCTTGAACTTCCCCAAATGACCTTGACCCAAGGTCACGACAAAACCTTAGGTCAGGAACAATCTTTGTGTGAAATGAGAATTTACCAACTTTATCCATAAGAAAGATATGGACCAGACATGAATTATGAAATTTTTCTTCCAGTGACCTTGAACTTCCCCAAATGACATTGACCCAAGGTTACAACTCATCCTTAGGTCAGGAGGAATTTTCGTGTGAAATGAGAACCTACCAGGTTTATCCATAAGAAAGATAAGGACAGAACAAAAATTATGAAATTTTTCTTCCAGTGACCTTGAACTTCCCCAAATGACCTTGAGTCAAGGTCTTGATACACCCTTAGGTTATGAGCAACCTTTGTGTGAAATTAGAACCGACCAAGTTTATCAATAAGAAAGATATGGACCGGACACGAAT